ATGCCCGCCCTCACCAGAGGGGCCAGTGTCACCAGTGGCAAAGGAAGGCCGGGCGTCACTCAGATGACAGGACGCCAAGGGACATGGCAAGTAAGGCAATTCCTGAGCCTGGATCAGATCCTGGATGGGAAGATCAGATCCTGCATAAGAATTACTCATGGGGCAGTGGGTAGAACTCGGGCAAGGCCTGGAGGCTACAGAGTTCTAGCAAGGCTGGTTTTCTGATCTGGGTAATTCTATGTAGGAAATGTCTTTGATCTTTAAACATCTGCACTGAAGTATTTTAGGGTAAGGGGTGTGATTGAGAGCTCCCGCAGTCCCTTCACCCAGACTTGCCGGCGCCTCTCTGCACACACGCGCACACACACACACATTTACACTCACATACATGTGCACACCCTCACATACTCATATGTACACACGCATGCGCACACACACGCCCTCATGTATGCTTACACTCGTGTACACGTACACACACAACGTATATCCACACAGGCACCTCTCACATTCACACTCACTCATGCACACACTCATGCACACACTCATGCACACACCTCACACTCAGGCAGACTCAGTAGGAGGTCTCCCTGAGAGTCTTGTGATCACTCAGATCCTCAGGGATACCCAGAACACTTTTGAGACTGGGAGGGACAGGTGCACCCCCAGCAACCTTGACTTTGGAGGGGATGCCCTCCTTTCGGCGTGAACCCCAAAGCCCTCACTCTGCCTGCCAAATCTCCCCCTCCCCCAGCCCGACTTCACCTCCTCCAGGCTTCCCTCGCCCCTCCCTGCGCCCCGGCCCCCTGGCCTGTCCCTGCCTCAGGGCCTTGCACGTGCCAGCCCCGTGGGCCAGCCGGAGCCCCTTGCCCTGCGTCCACCACATGCTCACCAGCTCCCCTCCTGGACTCCCAACTCCAGCCAAACTCAGACTCCACGTTCTGTGGGGAGCAGCACCCGCACTTCGGTTTCCTCGCTTCATTCCATCTGCCTCCGTGGCCCTCACCACCACCTTGCAGTCCTCACACTTCGCGTAGCTTTCTTGATGACTTTCCATCTGTCCCCTGAAAGGGAGGGATCTTGTCAGCTGTGTTCACTGCTCCAGTCCCAGTGCCCAGGCTAGGTGGGTGCTCAAGAAATCAATGTCACCCACGCCTCACTGGCCCATACAGACCTCTGGGGTGACCTGGGAGAAGAGAAGGGGATGGGATCCTGCTGGGCACATGACAGCCCACCCATCTCAGAGGGACAGCTGTCTCTTGCAAAACCACTGCCTTCTGTCAGTGTCCCCTAGTGCCACTCCAGCCCCTAAGTCTTCAGGGACCCAAGTCTGGGAGTCACAGAAGGGGAGGGTCCTGCATGCCCAGTACCCTGCCTGGGTGTCTGTGTGCAGTCAGTTCCCTGCCGTGCCCTCCCACACCCACGTCTGTTTCTGAAACCTCTTGGCTGCCTAGCATCTGTTGATGCTCACAAAGCCACATTTAGCCTTCACTGAAGTGAGCAGCAGAGGGCACCTGGACATGTCCACAGGTGTGACTTCATGAGCCCTCCTGGCAGCTGCTGGCAGAGAGCCCTTGGCAGGCGGGTGGACGTCCTAGTGTTCTCAGCACAGAAAACGGAGGTTAAGGACCACGCAGACCAGACAAGAGTCTGGCCACAGGGCATCCAGTCTTGGGCTCCAGATGGGAATGCCCCTCAAATGTGCACACACTCCAGACCCCATTCTGGAACTTCACATTTAGTAAATCAAGGCTTGATGGATCTTTAAAAATTCACCAGGGTTAGCCCCAAGACCCCAGATTTCATGAAGCAGAAGTTCCAGAGCAGGAGCGGGTGACAGATGTCTTGTAGTCTGTGATCCTGCCTATGGGATAAACAGGACACATGTGTGCCAGATGCTGCTGAGGCTTTGATGCTTGGTGGCCTCTTGTGTACATGCCAGGTAGAAATCACCTGCCCCATTTGAGAGGAGACTGAGGCTTGGAGAGTTCAGGGTGGGACCCAGCATCTCCCAGGCAGGAAGTGATGGACAGGGATTCACTCTCAGCCCTGCCTGACCCCAGAGTCTGGATCTCACAGTGATCTTCACGACGACAAGAACAGATCTCAAAATCGATGAGAGTCTCAGCTCTTCAGGTCCCCAGGCAGTCAGAGACCTGTGGTACGAGATGCGTATGGGGTCCTGATTCAGCCTGGGGCTGGAGGGGTCAATGAATGCTTCCCAGAGGGGGCTACATTTAAGCAGAGGTCATGGGAAGTGTGTCCCAAGCAGGAAGAAAATCACATGCAAAGGCTCAGAGGTGAGTGTACTAACGGCTTTAGCTGGAGAACTAACCACACCGCTGGCCTAAGATGCTGTGATATTTCACCTGGGAACAGAGAGTACTCTGAGGGCATAGCAGCTGGACGTTTTCCTGAAGACACCCTGCAAAATGTCTCAAGCAGCATCTCCCAGCTTCTGAGCTAGCCTCCTGGATCATGCAGATGCTTGGTTACTGGACAGGTATCCACTGGACTTGGCATCCTTGGCTGGTGACTCATATCTGACCTGGCCCATTTCAAGGAACAACATGGGGCAGATGACCCCCAAGGGGCCAGAATGCTCGAGCTTTCATGATCCTCCTATTCCTCGGAGCAGCCAGAACGTGGGGCTGAGCGCATTAGACTGTCCAGAATGACTGACTGCTTAAATCGAGACTTTTGTCTTTCAGACTTATTTATTCATTCATTTACTTTGACAGCAGCTTCCAGTATCTGTCACTTGCTGGGTTTTTTACTGATGAGATCTCCTTTGATCCTCACAAGAGCCTTACAAGATATATTTTATTGCCTCCATTTTTTAGTTGAAAAAATAGAGGCTAGGCGAGGTGAAGGCACCTGCTGTCTCTCTGGGCACTGAGATGGCTTTTGCCAAAGATGCCCTGGCTCAGGGACTGCCAGCTTCAATGGGAAGCTCAGTGGAGGGGCTAAAAACAAAAGCTGTGCATTTGCTCACGGTAGCCTCATTCAACACACATTTATTGAGCATATACTATGCACCAGGCCTTGGAACAGTGCTGAGAATACACCAGTGAACAAGACAGTTGCAACCCCTGCCCCCATGGAGGTGTACCCCACAGTGTGGGAAACAGGTAATGAGAAAATGAAGGAACTAAGAATTCAGGAAATGATGCAGGCCACTGAGTTGTAAAGCAGGAGGGAATAGAAGAGAGCCTCTCTCTGAGAGACTAGTGATAAAAACTCAGAAAGCAAATTTCTTTCTATTATTCTCAACTTGGCCTGAATTTTACCTTTCTCTGCACACAGTGCTCTGATTAGCTGGATACACAATTTTCCTAAATTACCACTGTGCCAGGAACTCATGCTTGATTACACAGGATTACAAGTTGGCAGGATAAAAATCCATACACACCATACAGGGGTGACACTAAACATCCCTTCTTCTTGAGAATCCCCAAGGTACATAGGAAACCCTCAGACTTTCCAGACCAATTGGAAAGAAGTATGAAAAAAAAATCTGGTTATTTGAGTCCCAGGATAGTTGGAGCTCCGGATAATTCAGTAGGCTTTAAGTCTAAGCTAGAGGGAAAACCTAGGGCAAAGTAACAGTGACATGACTTTGTAGCTGTGGGCTACCACGGTCAGAGGACTCAGATCTAAGGTGGAAGAGATATGACTATGCAGGGAAAAAATGGGGAGGCAGGCACAGCAGAAGTTCTGTTCTTAGAGGGCCCGGGAGATATTCTCTCCTGCTCAGGAGAAAGCCAGAATCCCCTGGATGGAGAGCTTCAAAATGCATCACCATCCCCACCAGACCTCAATGGACACCTATAAATCAACATTCTTGGGGGAACTCAAGAATGTGCATTTTCAACAAGTTTGCTAGTTGTTTAAAATATACATTATATACCAACAAGTTGGATAACTTAGTAGAAATGAATAATCTGCTACTTGCTGGGATTTTCATAAATAACTTCCTAGAAACACACAAGCTATATAGATTGAACCGTGAAGGAATAGAAAACCTAAACAGACATAAGGATTTTGGATCAGTAATAAAAATCCTCCCAGCAACAAAAATGCCCAGGTCCAGATGACTTCACTGGAGCATTCCAGCAAACACTCAAAGAATTACTTCCAATCCTTTTTAAACTCCTCCAAAAAATTGAATGAGCACTTCCACGCTCATTCTATGAGGCCAGCATTACTCTGATACCAAGCCAGACAAAGACACTACAAGGAAAGAAAACTAGAGATTTGTATCCCTGATGAATATTGAAGCAATTATCCTCAACAAAATACTAGCAAGCTGAATTCAACAGCATATTAAAATGATTATAAATCATGGCCAAATGGGATTTGTTCCTGGAATGCAAGGATGGTTCAAAGTATGAAAATAAATCAATGTGATACACCATATTAACAGAATGAAGGCGAAGAAATCCCTAATCATCTCAAATGATGCAGAAAACCATTTGACAAATTTTGTCATCCTTTTATGATAAAGACACTTAACAAACTTGGAATAGAAAAAAACAACTTCAACACAATAAAGACTACAGCTAAAAAGCCCACAGCTAACACCACAATCAATGTTGAAAGACTGAAACATTGTTTCTCCAAAATCAAGAACAGGGCAGATAGATGCCTTTTCTTGCTACTTCTGCTACTTCTGTTTAACATAGTATTGGAAGTTCTAACCAGAGCACTTAGGCAAGGAAAAGAAATAAAAAGCATTCAAATCAGAGACGAAGAAGTAAAACTGCTCCTGTTTACAGAGGACATAATCTCATATGTAAATAACCCTAAGGATTCTATTAAAAAGCTGTTAGAACTAATCAATAAATTCAGCAAGGTTTCAGGATACAAAATTAACACACAGAAATCAGTTGCATTCCTATACATTATCAATGAACAATTACAAAAGGAATCTTTTTTTAAAAAATTCTATTTACAATAGCATCAAAAAGAATAAATTTTAAGAATAAACCTAATCAGCGAGAACAGCTCCGGGAATCCCGGCTGCGGCTGCGGCGCGCGGGTCTCTGCCGCGGCAATTGACATTCCGTTTCCGTTGTCGGCCTCTTCTGCAGGACCTTCTCCCCAAAATGTGACAACCAAAAATGTCCTCAGACATTGCCAGATGTTTCTCGGAAGCAAGATCGCTCCAGGTTGAGATCCACAGAGGAGCCATATATTGAAGACCATGTCTGGGAGCTTCTACTTTGTAATTGTTGGCCACCATGATAATCCAGTTTTTGAAATGGAGTTTTTGCCAGCTGGGAAGGCAGAATCCAAAGACGACCATCGTCATCTGAACCAGTTCATAGCTCATGCTGCTCTCGACCTCGTAGATGAGAACATGCGGCTGTCGAACAACATGTACTTGAAAACGGTGGACAAGTTCAACGAGTGGTTTGTGTCAGCATTTGTCACTGCGGGGCATATGAGATTTATTATGCTACATGACATAAGACAAGAAGATGGAATAAAGAACTTCTTTACTGATGTTTATGATTTATATATAAAGTTTTCAATGAATCCATTTTATGAACCCAATTCTCCTATTCGATCAAGTGCATTTGACAGAAAAGTACAGTTTCTTGGGAAGAAGCACCTTTTAAGCTGAATGCAGGAAATTCTGAAACAAATGATGTCACCACAATGGCGTATACTCAGGAATGTGTACATTGTAAGTTACTTGATTAAATAGCCTGGAAAACTTTTGTGTAGTCTCAGCTGATCTAAACCTAATGAAATTCCTTTTATATTTAAAAATCGTACATTCTGTCTCATGTCACGTATCAATTGGTATTTCCTTGTGAACAGTGTTATTTATAAAGAGCTCGTTATCGAAAATAAGTATTTTTATTTAAAAATTGGGAATAAGCTTTTGACTTGCTCAATTCAGATAGGTTGATCTTTTGCTTTTTTGAGATGGAGTTTCGCTCTGTTGCCCAGGCTGGAGTGCAATGGCGCTTTGCCCTCTGCAACCTCCGCCTCCCGACTCCAAGTGATTCTCCTGCCTCAGCCTCCCAAAGTGCTGGGATTACTGGTGTCAGCCACCATACCCAGCCCAGATAGGTTGATCTTAATGTAACAATCTCAAAACAAATGTCATAGTCAAGATTTGGTAGATAGATTGAAAGCTAAATATTTAAAACTAAAATATTCTGCAGTTGGGAATGAAATGTGATAGCACATAATAAATGTTAATTTATTTATACATTTAGAGATGTTATAAAAATGTATAGGCAGTATACACAGCACTACTCAAGAAGCCAAAGAAACACTTGTGCAGTGCTGAGTGTCACATGTCTGCTTCTGCCAGAGGCTAAGAATAGTGATCCTGCTATAATGTGAGAACCTGGATCCATGTTTGTGGAATAAGAGGATGGGAGCAGTTGCAGGCCACAGTGAAGTTCATTGTTTCTGTCACTTATATTCTTGTATTTCCTTTCCTTCAAACTGTTGATACCAGTACTTATAAAAAGTTGTAAGGCAATTTTTTGGATTGTTGTCAAAGAAAAGCTTGGATTACATTAACATTTGTCTCAGCCTTTTAGGTGATACACCAGAGGGGGCTGGGAATGGTTTCTTTGTTCCTATAAGTAGATCTTACCGTAAAATAGTAAATGTCCATTGAAAAGCAAGTAATACAACCTTTGCTAATTGGGAGCTTATGAACAATTTTGTTCCATTCTGACTGACTTTTGAGCAATTCTAAGCTTTATCTTTTATCCTTGTGAAATTGCTACCATCATCTTTACCCTATTTATCTGATTTCTTAAATAAAGATGTTTGTTCAAAAAAAAAAAAAAAAAAAAAAAGAATAAACCTAATCAAGGAGGCAAAAGACTTGTACACTGAAAACCATAAAACCCCGTGCAAGAAATCAAAGAAGGCACAAAGGAATGGTATAACATTCCATGCTTATGTATTGGAAGACTTAAATTCTTAAGATGTCAATATGACCCAAAATGATCTACAGATTCAGTGCAATCCTTATCAAAATGCCCCATGGCATGTTTTGCAGAAATAAAAAAAAAAATTACCCTAAAATTCCTGTGGCATCTTGAAGGATCCTGAATAGCCAAAAAGATTTGAAGAATAATAACAGAGTTAGGGACTCACACTTCCCGATTTTATAACATATTACAAAGTCACAGTAATCAAAACAGTGTGGTACTGGCATAAAGACAGACATATAAACCAATGGAATAGAGTAAATAGTCTAGAAATAAACCTTTATATGTATACTCAACTGATCTTCAACAGGGTGCTAGACCCACTCAGTGAGAAAGGTCAGTCTCTTCAACAAATTGTGTTGGGAAAACTGGATGTTCACATGCAAAAGAATCAAGCTGGGTCTTTATCTTAGACTGTATATAAAAATTAAAGGTATTAAATATCACAAAACCCAAAGGTTTAAAATTCCTAGAAGAAAGCTTAGGGGGTAAATCTTCATGACATGGATTTGGTCTTCGTTACGATGCTACGAGCACAGACAATAAAAGCAAAAATACTCAAATGAGACTAATTTGAAGTTAAAATTTTTTTCCTCAAAGGACACAATCAGAAAAGGTAACTTACAGAATAAGAGGATATATTTGTAAACCATATATCTGATAAGAGGTTAGTATTCTAATATAAAAAGAACTACAACTCAACAACAAAAATCATGTAATCTGATTTTAAAATGGGCAAAAGACTTGAATAGACATTTCTCTAAAGATAATATACAAATGGCCAACAAGTACGTGAAAAGAGGCTTTGACATCACTACTTATCAGACAAATGCAAATCAAAAATCAGAGTGAGATATCACCTCACATCAATTAGGATGGCTACTATTTCAAAGCCCAGAAAATAACAACTTCTGGTGGGAATGTAGAGAAATTGGAACCCTTGCACACTGTTGGTGAGATTGTAAAAGATGCAACCACTGTGGAAAATGGTATGACATTTTCACAAAAATATTAAAAATAGAACTGTCATATAATCCAGCAATCACACTTCCAGGTATATAGCTCAAAAAAATTGAAAGCAGGGTCTCAAAGATGTTTGCATACCCTTATTTATAGCAGCATTATTCACAATGGACAAGGAGCAGAAGCAATAGAAGCAATCCAAGTACTCACGGATGGAGAATGGATACACAAAATGTGGCATGCTCATGCAAAAGAATGTTATGTAGCCTTAAAGGGAAGGACATTCTGATAGACCAATAAACCTTGAGGACATTATGCTAAGTGAAATAAGCTAGTCACAAAAGGGCAAATATTCTATAATTCCGTTTATATGAGGTATCTAGCTAAATTCACAGATGTAAAAAGTAGAATGGGGGTTACCAGGGGCTTGGGGGAGGGGGACAAATGTTTCGTGGGGACATGGTTTTGGTCTTGCAAGATGAAAAGTTTCTGGAGATCTGTATCTACAATAGTTGAATGCATTTAACACTACTGAACTGTATACACTTAAAATGGTTAAGATGGTATATTTTATACGTGTTGTTTATACCGTGATAAAAAGCTGTAAAGTGGTATAATTCCATTGCTATTCTTTCTTGAAATACTAACATTATAGAGACAGATAGCAGATTAGCAGCTGCCAGAGGTGGGGTGTCAGGGTTGGGAAGAGGGAGCTGGGTGTGGCTCTAAAAGTGCCGCACAAGAGTCCCTGTGATGGGACTCTCCTGTGTCTTGACTGTGGTGGGGGTCACCCAAATCTGCATATGGGATGAAACTGCGTAGAACAAAATGAACGAAATAGATGACTACACGTAAAACTGGTGAGATCTGAATAAGGTCCATGAATTGTGTCAGTGTTAATTTTCTGGTTGTGATACTGCACTATCGTGAAAGATGTTACCACTGGGGCACCCGGGGAAGGGCATAGTAGGGTGTTTCTACTGCATGTGAATCTACTATTATCTCAAATGTTTTTTAGAAGTTATAAACGTAGGCCAGGCGTGGTGGCTCACGCCTGTAATGCCAGCACTTTGGGATGCTGAGGTGGGCGGATCACCCAAGGTCAGGAGCCCAAGACCAGCCTGGCCAATGTGGTGAAACCCCTTCTCTGCTAAAAATATAAAAATTAGCCAGGCATGGTGGCACATACCTGTAGTCACAGCTACTGGGGAGGCTGAAGCAAGAGAATTACTGGAACCCGGGAGGCGGAGGTTTCAGTGAGCTGTGATCACGCCACTGCATTCCAACCTGGGTGACAGAGTGAGACTCCATCTCAAAAAAAAAAAAAAAAAAAAAGTTATAGATGAAACTTTAATAGTCAATGAAAAGCCAAAATAATCAGAATTTTTGGAAACGGTGCAAAATTGAAACTGTGCCAAAGGGAAAAGAAAGCTTCCCTCCAATTCTGGCTCCAAATCTCCTGTTTTGATCTGGGAGGAAACCCTTTGAGGAGTTGCTCAGAGATAACCCATACACAAATTTCAAAAACTTAACACAAAATAGAGCATACTTTGCGTAATCCATCCTTCCACACTTTTCCTTTGCTTTCTCTGTTTCACTGAACCATGTATGGAGGAGGCGGTAACAGGAAACTGACTCCTTCTTTTTGATGGCTCCATCACACTCCGTGGGGGACAGCACTAGACTTTGTTTAGCTGGTCCCTGCTGATGGACATTCAGGTTGACATCAGCGTGTCACAAGCAAGGCTGCAGTGTATACCTCTGCACTGAAATCTTTGCACACGGGCCAGAATATCTTCAGGCTGCATTCCCAGCCGGGGAATCGCTGCAACATTTCTATTTTGATGGGCACTTCCTGCACTCTGCAGAAAGGCAGCTCGGAGGTACACCCCACCTTGCAGTCCTGGGACAGTCACTTCTAAGGAAAGTTTGCTTTCACATGAAAAAGAAGGTGGAGAAAATCCAGCTTCCTTGCTTTTCCTGCCTCCAAGTAAGATAAATTTTTTTTTTTTTTTTTTTTTTTTTGAGATGTAGTCTAGCTCTGTTGCCCAGGCTGGAGTGCAATGGCGTGATCTTGGCTCACTGCAAACTCTGCCTCCCGGGTTCCAGTGATTCTCCTGCCTCAGCCTCCCAAGTAGCTGGGATTACAGGTGCACACCACCACACCCAGCTGATTTTTGTATTTTTAGTGGAGACAGGGTTTCACCATGTTGGCCAGGATGGTCTCCATCTCTTGACCTCGTGATCCGCCCCCTCTTGGTCTCCCAAAGTATTGGGATTACAGCCATGAGCCACATCGCTTGGCCCAAAAGCTGTGTTTTTTTTTTTTTTTCAGTATGCAGATGGGGAGCAACCCAGGCTGCACCCTGATTCCTCCTTCTGTCTCTCCTACCAAGTCCTGGCCACCTGCGTGACTACAGATTCTTCCTCCGAAAGTGTCCTGGATCAGCCATATCTCCTCTGCGCCACTGCATCCAAACCACCCCCATCCCTCCCCAGAACAGCTGCACAAGGGCCTCACGGGTTCCCCTCTAAAACCTCTGTTTTAGGCTCCCCAAGGAAGTTGACATGGCCACTGTCGCCCTCTGCTGAAATCTTCAGGTAGTGTCTCACTGCCTCCGAATGAAGCCCGGGCTCCTTTCCTGGGCCTCCAAGCCCTGGCATTCGGCCTCTCCTCTGCCTCTCTCCAGCGCTGTCTCCCTGAATGGTCCCTGGGTTCCCTCATCCCAGCTGCTTGTGGCTCAACGCCCTGAGCTCCCTCCCACCGCAGGGTCTTTGCCCTTGCAGCCCCTTGCCTAGAT